CAAGGGGGATTGCCTTTGATAATTTACTGTGAGAACTTGGTCACACTCCTGTACTTAAATCTCACAGAATTGTAGGAACCCCCGCTCCCTTCCCCATGACTGAGTCTCCTGGAATTTTTAGCTCTCATAATTGCCCAGCAATTTGTTTGTTACAATTCAGGTTATCCTACCCCATCACAGGTTCCAGGTGCTGGCTCTTGCTGAGTTTCCCCTTCCGACTCTGCTCCGGTAAGACATTTCTCCTCCTATTTGCTCTTGTCTCTCCAATCTTGAGGGCAGGGTTTGGACCTCTGTCCTCACCTCTCTTCAGAATCCTAGAAGAGTTCATGATTTTTCAGTCTGTTCACCTTTTTATTTGTTATGACTTTTCAAACTCCTTACATGCGGAACCCAGTACAATATTCAGTTGAAATTGTCCAGTTATGTAGCTCTAAAGTTCCCCCCATTTCATGAGAATGTATTTATAGCAATGGCGATGTTGCTGTGCCTGTAGTTGAGTTGTGGTAGTTTTGATTCTGTTGTTGTTGAGTCTGTAAAATAGACAAATTATAAGGAGTAAATTTAACTTTATTTTTTAACTTTTAAGACCTACTTTCTTATCAACTTGCAAATACACAATTCAGTGTTTTACTATAGTCAACATTCTATATATCATATCCCCATGACCTATTTATTTTATAATGGAAGCTGGTACCTTCAGACTCCCTTTACCCATTCTGCCCACCTCCTTCCCCGCACCACCATCCTCCCCCTCTGACAACCACCAATCTGCCCTCTGTATCTATGAGTTCAGGTTTTTGTTTTTCAGATGCCACATATAAATGTTGTTATGTAGTGTTTGTCTTTCTCTGACTTATTTCACTCAACATATTAGTGCCTCAAAATCCATCCAGTTTGTCATAAATGGCAAGAGTTCCTTCTTATCAAATATATGATTTGCAAGTATATTCTCCCAGTAGGTGGCCTTTTCATTTGTTTGATGGTTTTCTTTGCTGTGCAGAGGCTTTTTAGTTTAATGTAGAACTACTTGTTTATTTTGCTTTTGATGCCTTTGCTATATTAGTGTCAAATTTTTAAAAATCATTGCCAAACCAACATCAAGTAAGTTACTACCTATGTTTTCTTTTAGGAGTGCTTTGTTTTCACATCTTAATGTTCAAATATTTAATCTCTTTTGAATATGGTATAAGATAGTCCAGTTTCATTGTTTTGCATATGGCTTTCCAGTTTTCCCACCAGCAGTTATTGAAGAACTGTCATTTCTCCACTCTATGTCTATTGTTGGCTCCTTTGTGGCAAATTAATTGACCATCTATCATAGGTTTATTTCTGGGCATAAGAGATTTAACCTGAGCTCTGAACTTGAAAGTGCTTTGTGAATTTTTTCCTTTTTTTGGTTATTTTTGTTTTTGCCTCACAATAGGCTTCCTCAATTAAAGGAGTAAGGATTTGGTTGTAAATCATTTCAGCCCATGGAAACTCAAGAATTTTCAACCAGATGTGCGTCTCTGACAAGCCCTGATAAATTATCTTTATTTCCATTTTTAAATCAAAGAGTACAGGGATTTAATCATTCCATGTAAACATATGGAAATAGACACTAAAGGAGAATTTATAGGAGTGTTGTAAAACACTTTTTTCCAAAAAAGATTGTTTCAATTTCCTTAAGAATCAGATTCTTTTGAAATTTGTTTACGTTGTCAGCCAGGCAGCAGTGAGTCGGGGCATTATAGATGATGAATTTGTTGAATGGGACTTGGGCTTATTCTACACCCTTGGAAGTGTATACTCAAGGCACTGACATCAGAGAGGTCGCCATCTTTGCCATTCCCAAAGTCACATCCATGGTAGCTACCAGGAAGGTGATTTGGGGACATAAGGTAGTGATTAGAGTCTTATTATACCACTTAGACTAGCTATGAATTCCCAAGAATTAATTTCCACTCACTCAGCAAACATTGGCTGGGTGGCTCCTAGTGTGCCAGACATGGTGCTAAGTAACAAGGAAAAGGTCCTATTTTTTTTAACCTACTTGCAATATCCAAGAGTGCTTGAGTATCAGTTAACCTCAGTTCCTCCCTATGTAGAAAGACTGAACTTTAAAGTAAAGCTTGAGATTGGGCAGGCGACCCCAGCACTCTCCAGGTGCAGACCCCACTGGTTCCTGCCACACACACACAAGCCAACAGTTTTTAGCCACAGAGATTTCATAGTGGGGAGTGAACGTTGCTTTTGAAGGCTAAAGGCACATATGGCAGCCAAGGGAGACCTCTGAGCCACAAAGTGACATGGACACAAAATCGGCTTCCAGAGTACTCACTTCTTGTACAATTTTACAGTAATCATTGCACTTGTGAACGCTACGACTCCGAACTCAGGAAAATGCAGTGGATGGACACATACATTCAAAGGATTTCAGAAGGTATGTTTCCCCATGGTTTTAGAAGATTCCTTTATTAGAAACTATATTAGAAAATATATTAGAAATTAGATCAGGTCTTGGACATAGAAGTCACTTCAGAAAAAGTTAGTGGTCCCTGGGAGCAAAGGCAGAGCTACAACAGCCCCAGTTGCAGAGGCCGCTCTCCGTGCCGCACAGCACCCACCAGGCCGCCTTCCCCAGTCCACCCACACCTGTGCGCACAAAGCCTGGGCCAAAGCCCCAACCGAAACTGCTGAGCCCAAAGCCCAAGACTGGGTTGCAGCAGCGGCCGTCTGCTTCTAGGCTCCAGCGCACACGGAGCCCGGGATCTGACATCTCACGTCCCGTCTTTTGCCGCGCTCGCCTTTCAGGGCTCTGTGCCTAAGCGCCCGCGTCCTACCGACCATTTCTTCCCTTCCTGGGTTCCCAGCCACCCTGCGAGAGAGCGAGTTCTGCCCTGCGGAGAGCAAGTTGCAGACACCCAGGTTCTCAGTCCCCAGCTGGCTGTCATTTGCTTGCGGCAGTGCCGCCCAGCGTTAGGTAGGAGGATGCCCTTGAAAGGTAGGTGTCCCTGAACACGGATGCCACCAAGCTGGGAGGAAAAGAGCGATGCAGCGAGGCAGGTGTGAGCTTGGAACTGCTCAGGCTTGTGGGGACGGAGGACCGGGTGCAGACCGTGGCCGGGGGGCAGTCACGGCAGGCGTTGGCACTCCACTAGCGGGCAGACTACAGCGCAGGCTTGTAGATACTGGAGAGTCCCTGGGGACACTTCAACTCTCACTTGCTGTCACACTTCCCATACGCAAAGTCAATGCTGCCTCCAAACGTGTGCCTACTCCCTGAAGCAAGGCACTCACGCACGTAGGTGCCCCACTAGAGAGCACCAGAGTGCTCTGCTGTGCCCGGGAGAGCCCCTACCCCTACCCCTACCGTGCCGACCCCGGGTGCCCTGACGCCACTGCTGTGCTTGCCGCGCTGGGAGCATCTGCCCAGGAGGGTGCGGGTTGCGTGCTGTGTCCTCAGACCCGGAGATCCAGGAGACAGTGAGACAGTGAGAAGGTTTCCCCGCTGTCCACTCGCTGAAGACAGCAAGTCCGGACGGACCTCGGACCTTCTAGGCGGGTTCGGAGCAGACAGCTCAGGCGGTGGGGTCTGAGACCGCTTGCACAAGAGTGTTGGAGAGTCCAGGCACTGGAGAATGTGGTGTTCTGGAACACGCTTAGACTTTAGGCTGAGCGCAGGTACAATGGGAGCAGGTCGTCACCACGGTGTGCGCGGCTATCTCCCGAGAGACTGCATGCAAGTGTGGGGCGCGATGCAGGTGAACCCACCAGGTCGCCGCGAGGCCAGGGCGGCTGTGTGAGTGCACACACGGGGAGACTGTAATGAGTCTGTGTGTGTAAACGTGTGACTGGAAGAGGGTGAGCGTTAGTCTCCACAGAGACTATTCTACAGCTGCATGCCCGTGCTGCACTTGGCTCTCTAGTGGGCAACCCAAGTGCGGGGGATGCGGGCACAGGGCTGGAACTGCATGGCAGCGGGTCATCTTGGCAAACAGCAGCCGGAAGCAAGGGACAGCTGGGTAAATGCCTCCGGCAGGCAGATAACCCAGAGGTGATGTATGGCGCATCCCACCCAGTTGGTGGTAATGGGGATTGCTAGAGATCTACAAGGAGGCTTAAAAGCATCCATGCCTTAGACCTCCCACTCTAGCCTAGAGGGGCATCAGCCCCACCTTAGGCACTTGAGGGACTCCCACCCCCACCCCTACCCCAAGTTCAGGCTCCACACGAACTGGAGATTTGGATAGCATGGATCCGGATTTTATGGAATCCCTTACATGGGCCAATCAGTTCTTCTACGTCTCTATCTAGCCTGGGGCCAGGCACATAGCTGCTAATCCCAACATTCCTTCAAGACGGGAAGACGGTCCCCATTTCAAGGATGAGTACACGGAGGAACTGGGAAGTGACTTGCCTATCATCCTGCTTGCTTCACTGAGCACCTAGAATTGAGTTTAACCTGACAGAGTTCCTGCTCCCACCTCCACCTCGTTTCCCACGAGCTCCGTGCCTCTAAGGAAGATTCCAGATGTGTGAATCAGACAACCTTGTTTGTGCCCAGAATCCGACCCACTGCGCATTAACCCTTCAAGCCTCACTGAGACTGTGGTCTAGGGTCAGACTTGGGGGAGCCAGGCGTCCCTGCAATCCCAGATGCTGCCTCAAAAGACACAAGTGTGGATTGAGTGAGGCAAACATTCAAAACCTGTGGAGCTGAATGGGTGAAATATGACATGACGTCAAACTACCCTTAAATACCTGTTCACTTTTAGGGTGTTTCTCCTATTCCCACATACCCACACCCCCCAAACACACACGCATTTCCTTCATGACATCAGTGGGAATACAAGTGGAGTGGTCCTGCCGGAAGCTCCATTTCTGGACGCAAGTGGGTGACACAATCCCCCTAGGAACAGGATCCTTCCCTTCATTGGTTGCCCAGAGCTCGTGGACCACCCTGGTCCCCAGAGTGGCTGGAATAAAAGCAGCCGCTGGTGCTGGGAGGCATCAGAGGCACTGCCCATCTCAAGTGTCTCTGCCACTTCCACAGAGTGATCGCCTGACGCCAACAGAGCCACTGCCGCTGCCGCCTCTGCTCCAGAGCCCCTGCTACCTGCTGCCAGGTAAGCCCCGAGGTGCCTGTTTTGCTGTGTGATTCTATTTCTTTCTCTTCCTGTCTTCCCTCTCTCTCCCCATTAGTTTATCTCCCGGTCAATCTCTATGACCAAATCAGAGTATCTGTCCACTTCTGTCTGGGTCTTTTATACAATATCTGTTACTCTGCGATTCATCCCAGGCTCCTGACTCAGGTGACTCTCGACAGTCTCAGTGCGGGACTTCCTGCGCCCCTCTGCCCTCTCTGAGGCGGGCTCCAGTCTCACTGTCTCCCGCTGGGCACATGCTTAGGCCGATTGCTGGCCGCTGGAGGTCCCCAGGCACCGCACGCAGTGCGGAACACAAAAACAGCTTCTGCAGACCGCGCGCACATGGATCACTGCGCGTGCCGGGTGGTCCCCAGAATATCAGTTGGGAATCTGGACCAGCGCAATTAGGTAGCAAATAGGCGCAATGACTGAAGTGCAATTAAACGCAAGCCCCACTTGCGGGTTCTGATAGCTTTTTTCCCAGTTAGAGTCCTAAGTCCCAATTAAGACCTCCGAACTTGGGTCTTACAGGGACTCTCTGCCAGAGGGCAGTGCAGATAAAGAGTAAAATTCTGTTCTGTAGTTCCTCAGAGATTCTCACTGTAGAGGTATTCCCTTCCCTACCGGCCCCCCGCCCTCGCCTCGTAACACACAGAGCCAGGTGTGAGCAGGACACTCAGCAACCTGGCCAACAGGCGTTATGTGACAGAAGGTGGAGTGGGGTGGAGGTAGACGGGGCTTATGGTCCTCACCCACTTGGCGCTATTACCACAAATCCAGTTTGTTTGCTAAATTACATGCGCTACATGATCACCAGATTCTCCAGCAGTCACTTGCTAAGGAGGAAACGACGCAGAAGGGAAATGAAGTGACCGGACTGAAGCCTGATACCAGGGAGTTACAGGCAGATGCAGGACCAGAGTCCAGGTCCTTGGGCTCAGGGAACTCTGAACGGCTGCAGGTGGGTGACTTCATTCTTCTCTTGCAGAGAGGCGTCATGGGTTTCTGGAAGTTCTCTCCCTTCCTGGCTCTCAGCATCTTGGTCCTGTACCAGATGGGCTTCCTCCAGGCAGCGCCACTCAGGTAAGACAGCATGCTCCCCACCACAGCCCCTGGGATCAGACAGTTCCATGCTCTAATTGTGGTGTGCTGAGTGTTTAACAATCTGCGCCCAAGGAAACAAATGTATGTAGGTAAACCTGCATGTAAATTTGTTAGAAACTTTTTATGACAAAAGATGTGTCATATACAACTTACAAATAGAAAGCATGCAATAATTATAATAAATTTCATATAGCTCATGCCTTGCAGAAGGTTTTCATTGCTTTTTACCAAATATTTGCATCTTTAACAAACCTATATATCTAATTCAACCCAATTTGAGCAATGAGTTTTCTGAATATGCCAACTATACTTTGCCAATAAATTTGTTATTAAATCTGTGATCTCTTAGTCTAAATTCACACATCTCATACAAATTTATTTATTAAATATTTTCCAGAAACAAATGAATTATAAGCTTCATTATTTAATATTTATTGGCTGTATTTAACACTAAGCTCATAGCATTCCCAAAAACCTAACCATCTGCTTTCACAAGCCTTTAGGAGGTTACACCACTTCTCTAGATCACATCAGAGCCTAACTTGTGGGAAACAGCATTTGTGGAAGGCCACTGGCCTCATGCCCTGTCCACTGGGAGTTGGGGCAGCCACATGAAACCAGGAAGCCTCCTGCTTATTCTGGGCTTAGGCAGGCAGGGATTCTGAGCTTGTACTGGGGCTGCTTTCCTCCCCCAGGGCTACCTTGGAGATCTGCTCCTACCCTGCTACACTCTCTGAGGAGGAATCACGAGTCTTACTGGCTGGACTGATGAAGGACTATGTCCTGATGAAGATTCATGAACTGGGGCAGGAGACGGAGGGCTCCAGGTGAGGTTTCCTCCCCCAGCCGGCACAGGGCATCCCCTCCCTCCTGTTATGTCCAGGAAGGTAGAAGAGAACACAGCTGGACTGGTGGACAGAAGGCTTTCATTGTTCACTCTGGTCTGGGGACCAACCTTTCTCAGGCTCCACTGAAGATAGACAGGTGGACAATCTATGGTTAGACCACATGCTAAAGATCCATTTCTGAAGCAATTAGGAGAGGTGTGGAATCCCTCACTCTGGAAATTGGTCTGGCAGTACTGAGGAGGCCTCCCAGCATTGGAGGAGTTAGGACTGGTAAGTGTGAAGCCAGGGGATAGAGCCCATAAAGCTCTTGAGATTTTAGAAATTTGGCTCCTCCTTACTAACCTGAATATGATATTCTTTCTCAGCTTCAAGGAGTCTTCATTGTGCATTTGCAAGGTGAAGCCAAAGACCTTCAGAAAGCAGATCAGGTAGAGGAGTATTGAGGTAGTCCAGGGTCTTCAGATGTGTAGTATCTGTGGAGACTGCAATCTTGTCCTAGGCTTGGACAGAGCAGCCTTCCTCAGCCCCACTTTCCAGTACCCTGAGGTTGTAGCATACACCTGTCCCTGGCTTGGCCCTGGCACTGCCTGGACAGAAGCACATGTTGAACTCTGAGGACCCCTTTGCAGAGCATGAAGGACTAAGCTGCATGCGGAATGCCTAACAAGGTCACCCCTTCCCCACCGCAGCCTATCCCCACACTGCTCCAGCTCATCAAACTCTGAGTTCTCCTAATGGGGGATGCATGGGCCACCATGGTAGTCCCATGCGACAGGCACCTACTCTCAACCTCTGACAGGCCCCTTTTTCTTCCTCACAAATCAGGATCACTGCCCAGAGAAGAATCTGCAACACTGCCACCTGTGTCACCCATCATCTGACAGTCTTGATGAGCAAATCTGGCGGTGCAGTGAAGAGCAACTTTGTACCCCCCAACATGGGTTCCAAAGCCTTTGGCCAGCAACAGAGGGACCTTCAGGCCTGAGTATGAAATGACTCCAGAGAAGGTAACTGCCCTTGTACTGTTGGATGAGATGATGGATGGGTAGATCACATTCTTAACTTCCCTGTGCCTATACAGTAAAAAAATCTACAGGGAATGATGTCCATTCCCAGTGTTTTGAGAAAGACAGAGTCCCTACAGCTGAAATGCCTAGAATTTGGGTTCATTTTTCTATGTATATCCTTGTCTCCATGTAACACTGAGATCATCTCTAAGGAAATATAGATTCTATTTATTTAAAACACTGTTCTCTGCAGTTATAACTGATTATTCTAGTATTTGAATTTGAGAGGGAATGACACTATCATTTTGGAGTATACACTAAAATAGCATGAATTCAGACCATAGAGTTGAGTTCAACTGTCTTTTCCTTCTGCTACCTATATGACTATGGGCTAGACACTCTCTCAGCCTCAGTTTCCCCATGGGTAAAAGAAGGCCACAATAGTACCTACATGCTAGTATTGATAGAAAGACTAAATGAGATAATAGATGTTAAGAGCCTCACAAGTGGTAACTAGATCTTAATTATTTTTCTTTCCCCCCTCAGAGTCACTGTGAAGCTCACCTCTACTTTTAATTTGTAGTAAAAGTGCTTGTAGGAATGGGAATGTGCAAGACATATATATGTGTATCTCCCTTGATATTAAAAATGCTCTTTTTTGTTTGAAATAAACTAAAACTAGATGCAGAATAAAATCATTGCCGTTACCTAGTGTGCATGTTTTTTATATTCGATTCTGTATTCAAAAATATGACAGCATGTCTCACTGGCTTATCTGGTTGCATATCTGGGTCCCATTAGCTAACTTGTGGATATTGGCAATTCTGCTAAACTTCAGTAGAACATGAAATCACTGCCTTGTGGGTGCCTGGGGACTCATAATAAATCTATGCCTCGATGGATCTCTTTGTTTAAAACATGTTAATGTTGTCCTCTGTGAACTTAACAAACATTAAAAATGTATACTCTATACACTTAAATGGTATCCTTTCTGCTATTTATAGTTTTTCCCAGAAGTGTCTGAGGGTTCTTTGAACACTTTGTTCAATTTATCGTGAACACATGTGCATCCAACAATATGGCCTCAAATTATGTAAGACTGTAACTACAGGGAGAAGTTCAAATATAATAATTGTTTTTAGAGAATTAATGTAACCTTCTGAATAAGTCTTCTGCTATCACCTCACCAGTATGTTTTTCCATGTTGGCTCTGCAATTACCCTCCAACAGGATGATGAATTTCAGTATCTATACAGTAGTTATATCCACAAAAGGATGATAGATTTTATTACTGGTCAGATTATATTTACTTGTCCCAATACCAGTTGTTAAACAAATCATACCACCCTTATCATGTTCTAATAGTCTTCCGGCGTTTCTTTTCTACTGATATTTATGCATTAGTATCACAGTTTGATAACTAGTAGGGCAAAAGCTTCCTCATACTTGTCTTTTTCAAAGTGCTCTTGACGATTTGTATACATTTATTCTTCCAGAGGGAAGTTAGGATAATTGTCAATTTTTTAAAAATTCTTGGATTTTGATTTGCATTGGGCTTTCAAGGTAGACAGTTGAATCATCTGTAAATAATAATAGATCTTATTTTTTTTGTTCTCATTGTATCAAGTATATCTATATTCAAGAAAATATAAATAATAATGTTTCATATTATGTACTAACAGATTTTTTAAATCAAAAATGAATATTGAGTTTTATCAAAATATCTTTTCTTATCTAAAATTATCTTCTGACCTTACTGAGTCTGATATTTCCAAAAGTAGAAACTAATATTAATATATAACATTTTTGAGTACAAAACTTGCTGCTACATGCTAATACATTAGAGATATTAACTCTTTTAATCTTTACAACAACTGGGTAAGGTAGGCACTAACAAAAGCCCCATTTTAAGTATGAGGAAACTGAGACACAGAAAGATTAAATATGTTAACTGAAACCACATCCCTATTAGATCCATCTCAAGATGCAAATCTGATCCAAGGTTATCTGACTCCAGAGTCTACTCTTTTAAGTCACTATACTGCTTCTTGGTTGATAAACTCTACATGGTCGAAGATATGTGTTAAATTTCAACAAGCAAATTCAATTTACTTGTGATTTATTTAGGATTTTGTCTATCTTTGTCAAACTTGGCATTGGGGCTATGCCACTGTTATCAAATGGGTTGAAAAACTTTTGAACTCTTTTTCCATGTCTGAATAAATGGCATGGAAAATATGCCTTAAGCTTGATATAATTCACCTACAAACCTTTCTCACAGAGTTCCTTTTCTAACATAGTTCTTAAAAGATTTTGAATTTCTGCCACAGTTATTCTACTCTATTATTCTATTTACTTTATTCCAACTATTTCTGCCTACATGTTTTTCTAAAGCTTTTTAATTGTAAAGATTTTTCTATGTACCAGCATCACTGTACATTTTAAATCTTCATATTTAAGGTTATATCCTCTGTTCATTCATAATGTGATGTATATGTATTTTCTCTTTTCCTTTTCCTTCAAATTACCAACAATTTCTACTGTATTGGACTTTTCAAAGTACTGAATTTAATATTTATTTTTTAGTTCTACTATCTGTCTCATTTCTAATTCACTAATTTCTTCCCTGCCCATTTAATTCTCTTCTCCCAGATGATTGTTGAAAAGTTTATTTGGCTGGTCTCTTTCTAGATTTCTGAGTTGATTACTGAGCTAAATTGTTTATATTCTCTTTTCTTGATTATTTGTACCACCTCTACTGATTCCATCCTGATCCAAGCCTTGATCATATTTTACCTAAATTATTACAACAACCTCCCACCTGATCTTCCTGATTCTACCATTTTTACTGTATAAACAATTCTGGAATGATCCCTTTAAAACATGAGTCATATGTGTCTATCCTTTGCTTAAAACCTTCCTCATCTCACAGGCTCCCCATCTTACACAGAGTAAAAGTCAAAGTCCTTATAGTAACCTAAGGGGTGCTAAATGCCAATATCTATTCTCTGATCTCCCTTCCTGTCAACTAACTCATTGCTTGTTCCATTCCCAGCTTCCTTAGTGCCTTTGCACGTACTATTTTCTTAGAATGTTATTTGCCAATGTCTACATGACTGACTCCCTTCCTTCCCTCAGAATTGCTGAAATATCACCTCAGAGAATTCTTCCCTGACCACTATATACAAAATAGCATCACTGTCTGATCACTCTCTATCCACCTTATTGTTCTATTATATCCACTTTTTATGTTTTACTATACAAATATTATATATTTATTTTCCATTTTGTCTATATTCTCTCATTAGGATGTAACGCTATATGGATATTACATGTATCTTTGGCTATACATACTAGGAGCCTAGAAAAATTAACATGACAGGCCCTTAAAAAACACTTGTTGAGTTATAAATAAAATCTCTAAGGAAATATAGATTCTATTTATTTAAAACACTGTTCTCTGCAGTTATAACTGATTATTCTAGTATTTGAATTTGAGAGGGAATGACACTGTCATTTTGGAGTATACACTAAAATAGCATGAATTCAGACCATAGAGTTGAGTTCAACTGTCTTTTCCTTCTGCTACCTATATGACTATGGGCTAGACACTCTCTCAGCCTCAGTTTCCCCATGGGTAAAAGAAGGCCACAATAGTACCTACATGCTAGTATTGATAGAAAGACTAAATGAGATAATAGATGTTAAGAGCCTCACAAGTGGTAACTAGATCTTAATTATTTTTCTTTCCCCCCTCAGAGTCACCGTGAAGCTCACCTCTACTTTTAATTTGTAGTAAAAGTGCTTGTAGGAATGGGAATGTGCAAGACATATATATGTGTATCTCCCTTGATATTAAAAATGCTCTTTTTTGTTTGAAATAAACTAAAACTAGATGCAGAATAAAATCATTGCCGTTACCTAGTGTGCATGTTTTTTATATTTGATTCTGTATTCAAAAATATGACAGCATGTCTAATTGGCTTATCTGGTTGCATATCTGGGTCCCATCAGCTAACCTGTGGATATTGGCAATTCTGCTAAACTTCAGTAGAACATGAAATCACTGCCTTGTGGCTGCCTGGGGACTCATAATAAATCTATGCCTCGATGGATCTCTTTGTTTAAAACATGTTAATGTTGTCCTCTGTGAACTTAACAAACATTAAAAATGTATACTCTATACACTTAAATGGTATCCTTTCTGCTATTTATAGTTTTTCCCAGAAGTGTCTGAGGGTTCTTTGAACACTTTGTTCAATTTATCGTGAACACATGTGCATCCAACAATATGGCCTCAAATTATGTAAGACTGTAACTACAGGGAGAAGTTCAAATATAATAATTGTTTTTAGAGAATTAATGTAACCTTCTGAATAAGTCTTCTGCTATCACCTCACCAGTATGTTTTTCCATGTTGGCTCTGCAATTACCCTCCAACAGGATGATGAATTTCAGTATCTATACAGTAGTTATATCCACAAAAGGATGATAGATTTTATTACTGGTCAGATTATATTTACTTGTCCCAATACCAGTTGTTAAACAAATCATACCACCCTTATCATGTTCTAATAGTCTTCCGGCGTTTCTTTTCTACTGATATTTATGCATTAGTATCACAGTTTGATAACTAGTAGGGCAAAAGCTTCCTCATACTTGTCTTTTTCAAAGTGCTCTTGACGATTTGTATACATTTATTCTTCCAGAGGGAAGTTAGGATAATTGTCAATTTTTAAAAAATTCTTGGATTTTGATTTGCATTGGGCTTTCAAGGTAGACAGTTGAATCATCTGTAAATAATAATAGATCTTATTTTTTTTGTTCTCATTGTATCAAGTATATCTATATTCAAGAAAATATAAATAATAATGTTTCATATTATGTACTAACAGATTTTTTAAATCAAAAATGAATATTGAGTTTTATCAAAATATCTTTTCTTATCTAAAATTATCTTCTGACCTTACTGAGTCTGATATTTCCAAAAGTAGAAACTAATATTAATATATAACATTTTTGAGTACAAAACTTGCTGCTACATGCTAATACATTAGAGATATTAACTCTTTTAATCTTTACAACAACTGGGTAAGGTAGGCACTAACAAAAGCCCCATTTTAAGTATGAGGAAACTGAGACACAGAAAGATTAAATATGTTAACTGAAACCACATCCCTATTAGATCCATCTCAAGATGCAAATCTGATCCAAGGTTATCTGACTCCAGAGTCTACTCTTTTAAGTCACTATACTGCTTCTTGGTTGATAAACTCTACATGGTCGAAGATATGTGTTAAATTTCAACAAGCAAATTCAATTTACTTGTGATTTATTTAGGATTTTGTCTATCTTTGTCAAACTTGGCATTGGGGCTATGCCACTGTTATCAAATGGGTTGAAAAACTTTTGAACTCTTTTTCCATGTCTGAATAAATGGCATGGAAAATATGCCTTAAGCTTGATATAATTCACCTACAAACCTTTCTCACAGAGTTCCTTTTCTAACATAGTTCTTAAAAGATTTTGAATTTCTGCCACAGTTATTCTACTCTATTATTCTATTTACTTTATTCCAACTATTTCTGCCTACATGTTTTTCTAAAGCTTTTTAATTGTAAAGATTTTTCTATGTACCAGCATCACTGTACATTTTAAATCTTCATATTTAAGGTTATATCCTCTGTTCATTCATAATGTGATGTATATGTATTTTCTCTTTTCCTTTTCCTTCAAATTACCAACAATTTCTACTGTATTGGACTTTTCAAAGTACTGAATTTAATATTTATTTTTTAGTTCTACTATCTGTCTCATTTCTAATTCACTAATTTCTTCCCTGCCCATTTAATTCTCTTCTCCCAGATGATTGTTGAAAAGTTTATTTGGCTGGTC